AGGAGGAAAGGAAAGGAAAGGAAAGGAAAGGAAAGGAAAGGAAAGGAAAGGAAAGGAAAGGAAAGGAAAGGAAAGGAAAGGGAGAGAATACACATTCCTAAGAGGTCTGTAAGGGCCGTGCATAAGTGCCCAATCGTGCCTACCGTCCCTGTCCTATTGTCCCCATTTATTTGTACCTATTTCCTGTATTCTTATTCATGTTTATACTTATATCTATTACCTTGTAAGCGACTAATAAATCAAATAAATAAGTAAATTCAATGAATGTTTTTTAGACACCTTAAGCCCACCACGGAAGATCTCTTCCGACACTTGTTATTCTGCGTTCTCTAAGTTTACCAAGCTGCGTGGTCCAGCACATTGTACGGACACTGCCTCTTGTTACCCAACCGGGATCCTTCCTTTCCTCCTACTGTGACTTCTCCTCCACCAGAGACTTGTGTGTGTGTGTGTGTGTGTGTGTGTGTGTGTGTGTGTGTGACTTACCGAGCCAAGCACCTTCATCCTTGAAGCTGGGGGAGAGGCACAGGAAGGCAGCTGTCTTAGGAGAGGCTCTATCTGTTTGCCTGCTTGCTTTTCTGGGGTTTATAACGCTTGGTTTTTATGCAAGAGAAGCCGGTGTTAACGGGACAATAAGTCATCCGTTAACCCACCGGGGCCAAACTCCTCTTGGGCGTGGGTCCCTGAGCAAACGATTAATGCCTGACATTCACTCGAAGGAGAAGGGCTCCACGGGAGACCCTCCTTGCCCCTGGGATTTGAGCCATGGCTACCTCCAAGCCAAGCCAAGGTTGGGACTGGGTCACTGCCTTTGCCAGGGCACGGGGCAACCGAAGGAGCATGACCGAGGCCTCCGTCCATGAGGCTGGACTGGGTTCAGATGTTATTTACTTCATGTAGGTCAAGGGCGGGGGGCTGGTTTAGAGGAGGAAAACAGGACAAAATTCACCAAGCCACCAAAGATTCTTCCAAGAAGACCAGATTCACGTGGGGTGTTGTGCTGAAGGGAGGTTGGGCCATTGGTGGAAAACTTCAGGAGGACATCACGTGAAACCAGGATTTCCATCGTGTGAGGACAAGCCATGTTGCTTTGCTAATTTTGTGGGAACCCAGAGGAAGGTCCTCACCATGGCCCAGATGCTTCCGTGGAAAGAAATATATTTTATTTAGGGGTCCTTGGTGCTCTCTGAGCTTGGTTGCTTTCTTGCAGACGTTTCATGGTCCAACAAGATAACAGCATCAGTGCTAGAAAAAAGGGGGTTTTCAGAGAGGAGGAGGAGGAGGAGGACAGATTACAGATAATCAGAGTGGGAAGGGACCTTGTAGGTCATCTAGTCCAACCCCCTGCCCAAACAGGAGACCCTACACCATTTCTGACAAATGGCAGTCCAATTTCTTCTTGAAAGCTTCCAGGGATGTTGCTCCCACAACTTCCGAGGGCAACTTCTGTTCCATGGGTGGATTGTTCTCACTGTCAGAAAGTTTCTCCTTATTTCCAATCTCTCCTTGTTACGTTTCCATCCATTATTCCTTATCTGATCTACAGGTGCTTATAAAATAGCTTGACCCCTTCCTCCTCTCTGGGGCAGCTCCTCAAATATTGGAAGTCTGCTCTCCTGTCTCCCCTGGTCCTTCTCTTCACTAGACGAGCCAGGCGCAGTTCCTGCAACCGTTCTTGATATGTTTTAGCCTCCCGTCCCCTAATCATCCTGGTTGCTCTTCTCTGCACTCTTTCTAGAGTCTCAACATCTTTTTTATAGTGTGGTGACAACTGTGGGGTCCTTGGTGGTCTCTGAGCTTGGTTGCTTTCTTGCAGACATTTCATGGCTCAACTAGGCAATAACATCAGTGCTAGAAAGAAGGGGGGTTATGAGGAGGAGGAGGAGAGGAGAACTGTGGGGTCCTTGGTGGTCTCTGAGCTTGGTTGCTTTCTTGAAGATATTTCATTTCCCAAACCAGATAACATCATCAATGCTAGAAAGAAGTGGTAGAAGACTTCTAAGCACTGATGATGTTCCTTTGGTAGGGAAGGCTGGTCACAAATACTATAGGTCTTAGCATATGCGCTGATATGGGCTTTGGGATTTTCTGCTAGAAAGGATCCATCACCAACAGCATCTGTTACTGTCTCCAGAGTCCTGAGCACTGCAAAACGGTAGCCATCTACTGAACGAATGTGTCACAAGGTCTCAATCTTGTGGCTGAGAACACTAAATAAAACTCGCATTCTCCTTCCTGTTGATGCTTTTGTCAAATGTAGAGAGAATGGTTATTTTAACGCAGAATGTTCAGAGTTCAGATTATGAAACCGGGTGTAATTTGTTCCAGAGTTTACTTTTTTGGATTAGAGGTTTCCTCGTGCTGGTTCCTGACCCTTCAGTGTATTTTCTGAAAGAAAGACCTGTACTTCCTGTGCCAACCAGAATCTTTGGAGATGAAAGTATGCCATAATATTTTGACAAACACCTGGATTTTCTCCAAGAGGCCTCCAGCCAGCAGAAATAATGGATGCCGTGAAGCAAAAAACAACAGTGGAAGTAGATCTTTAATTTTAATTCCAACTTTAGCATTAAGGGAAAGTTGAGTTTAGCAGGACGAAGCACCTCCAGATCTAATCTTAGATCATCTAGACCAGAGTTTTTCAAACACAGTGACTTTGAGATGTGTGGATTTCAGCTCCCAGAAATTGCTTCGATGGGAAATTCTGGTTGTTGAGGTCTTCTTCTTCTTCTTCTTCTTCTTCTTCTTCTTCTTCTTCTTCTTCTTCTTCTTCTTCTTCTTCTTCTTCT